CTCTGGTACTGCAGGCTGGCCTGCCATGGCCACTGGCCTTCCACAGCCTCGTGGCCACCAGAGATCATCCATACCCCTCGGGCTTCCCGCACACTGTGATGACCATCCCGATGCCATGTGGTAAACAGGAGGTCCCCATTTCCTCTCCAGTAGACCCTTGACCACTTCTCAGTGGGAAAGCAGAAGCAGGGGTCAACCAGTCCCAGAGTGAGAGGGCATCTTGGTGTCTGATATCCCTGTCTGCTGCCTGGGCAACAGGAACGTGGACAGCAAAGCACACAGTGAGCAAGCTCCGTGGGAAGCCGCGGAAGGGATAAGGTGGCCACAGCTGGTCACAGCTGCATCCCGGAAAAACCCATGCCCTCAGCAACCCTCACCCCCACCCCCGGCCCAGACACTAGCTTTGTGTGCGGGGCTGTATTAGTGTCCTGCCTCCACCTCCCCACTGTCTCCGGGAGGGGCAGTGGGCCATGTGACCTGGACAGGGTGTTCCGGGTGCACCAACTGTAAGGACGCCGTGGCCGGCTGCCCGCTCGAAGACTGGGGAACACAGAGAGGAGAAAAGAGGAGACTGATGGGCCAGTCCAGCCCGGCTGTTCCCCGCCCACAGCCCATCTGCTCACCTGAGCCCCGGGTGCCCCAAGCACCTGCTGAGCCAAGGGCTGCGGGGCTGGTTTTTCCTGCCAGGGGTTTCCAGTCTCCATGCCCATGGCCAGAGTGGCTTCAGCCCTGGCTGCACCCCTCTGACCTCTGACCCCTAAAATATGACCTCTCTAATCCCATCCTTCCCACTGGACTCAGCTCTCTCCTGAGCCCTCCTTGACTTTGGACCTGCCCCTGTGCTATCCCTGTCCTGAGCCCTCTGGCCCAGAGTTGTGGACTATCTCCTCATGTAAGTCCCTAGCCCCTGCACAGCTTGAACCTGCCTACACAGGTTTGCAGAAACTCTTCTCACCTAGCTCTGGTGCGGGTTTTGTTTTCCCTTCCATGATCCAGTGCCTGAGCCCTTACCTAGCCCACAACTGGATGTGCAGTTTGGACCCTCACCAGAGCTGTTCCAACTGTGGGGTTTGGAACATGGCCCTTTGGCCAGTGCAGAGACTGCTGCCGTTTCCGGAGCCTATCCCAGGTGGCCCCTTTTGGAGACAACACATACAGAGAGAACAGGACCTGGGCAAAGAGGGCACCAAAGCCTGTCGAAGCACCAACAATGCAAGGAACACCTGCAAGTGTTTTCCAGGCACGGCCACAGGTGTGCCTGTATGTGCTCTGGGATGGCTTTAGTCTGACACAACCCAATCCCAAGAACTTGACACAAACAGCGAGACTCTTCTGGGGCTCCAGGATCCTCAAGGCCTGATAATGAGACCTTTGTTTTCCACCTATCCCATGAAAATGCACCCCTCAATCTTTATCCTGGTCACATAAAACATGGTCCCCTCTCCAGGGATTTTGTGATGTGCATTTTCTTGGGAGCAGACTGTGTTAATACCTCCCAAACCCCAGATAGACCCTTTTCCACCCTCACTCCCGTCCCACTTCAGAGGAATGAAGAGCTGGTCTCAGCAAGCTGCCATCCCTGCTCTAACAGGTAAAAGCCAGGTCCCCAGGGCTTTCCAGATGCTTGATCCAACTTTTCAGGTCCTTTATCAGCACCACCACCCCAGAGTCTCCTCCATCCAACCCAGCTCCACAGCTCGGCTGCCCCTCTAGGGTCTGCTCCATGGAGGAGGAAGAGCCCAGGGACCCCTCAGCTCCCTGACTGTGACTGCTGGGCTTCCTCAGTGCTCCCCAGTGGAGAGCAGAGCTTTCTCCAGACAGGTCAGTGTTGTTTAAACTCCCAGCGCTTGCTGGGGTGGGGCCAGGTGTCAAGGAGCTCGCCAATAGGAACAACCTGGAGTTTATGGTCTAGTCTATGGGAATGAGCACAGGCCCCGCTGCTGTATCTGGGTCCCCTACAGGGCAGCTGATCTGCTCTGAAGTCTGGATGCTGGACTTTGTGTGCCCATAAGGGAGCATGCAGGAACAGTAGAAAGGTCTGACCACCTTGTTTCAGCTGTGCCACAGAGTCTGGACATACTTCATTTCTACCACACTGATCACAGTTTTAGAGAGAGTAGAACAAAACTGGTGTGGTGCCCAGGAACTGTTCTTGCTTCTAGGGACCAAATGCATGATCAGGCATGTTGAGCCACTTCACACCAGACGCTTCCGGTGCTGTGGAGGAGCCTCAAGTTTCCCCTAAAACATTCCCAACAAGAAATGAATCTCGGAACCAGGAAGCTTGCTGAAGCGATTTCTCCTGATCTTGCACCAGGCCGATTTCACCGGGTTTCCTCAGACAGGGGCAGGTGTTGTACTTCCACCTGCCCCTTACGAATCCAGAGCCCAATGGAAAACCCAGGTATGTGAGACCAGTGACTGCTGACTCTAGTCCTCAAGGGATCAGGGACAGCTGCTCCTTCCCATCTCCTAGCCTCTTTATCACGCCCATGAACTGCCTTTCTCCTTGTGCCATTTAAGCTCAGTAATGGTCATGATCCAGAGACTCAAAAATGAATCTCAGAATCCAGAAGCAGCTGCAGAGATTTCTTCGGACACTAATTATTTAATATTTTAGAATTCCAGGGCGTGCAGCCACTTTTGTGGCCATGTGACTTCTCATGCTATTCATAATAAGCTATACAAAATAAAGTATCAGTCTCTTAGGCACGCTTGAGAGGTGGTGGTGGTAAGCTTAGAAATAATGGTGTTGGGATGGTGTAATGGTGGTGGGATTGAAATATTGAATGTAATCCATTATTGTGAATAACTTTATGAAAATAAAATTTAAAAAATTATTTTGCGTACCAAAAAAAAAAAAACCATTCCTGACAGGAACTACCTGTGATTTTGAACTGTCTCCAAATAGGCAGAAAGTAACAGAGCACCAAAGGCAATATAGATCCTGAACTATCAGGGATAAAGAAAACTGCAGTTTCAGGACACCATGCTCAGTTCCAGAAGTCGAGACGGGACAGACAAGGAAAGATTAAGGACCTTGCCCTGGGTAGCTGCCCACTGCCTTGCAGGAAACCCTCACATTTTTTCCCCTGGGCCCTGCATGGACCCCAGAGACGCATCTGCCTCACCTGTGTGTGGGTGAGACCTTCCTCCTCCTCCAACTCCTCAACCAGGGCCAGGAGATCCAGCTGGGATTCTGGGGAGAGCAGGTGCTCCAGGAAGCTGGGATGAATGACCGCCTCGACCTGGAAGGGGGAAGCGGAAGTGAGGGTCCTCATAAGGACCAATGGGAATGAGGAAGCAAACACACCCGTTCCCAACACAGTGCAGGGGCTTGGACGGCTGCACAAATTCTCACACAGACACAAGCCGGGAGCGCTCACACTCTCACACACACAGGCCCATACAATCCGCACTCACAAAGGCACATGGACTATTCACCTACTCTCACAGAGAAGCACATGTAAATACACATGGATGCATATACACACATGACACAAAGACACACACTCTTCGACCTCTAGGAACATGTACATGTATCCTCTTACGTTTCTGCACAGAGCTCACACAGTACACACAAATGGAGACACACAGAGATGTTCACACATCGGCCAAACCCAGAAATTCACAAACAAGGGCCAATGTTTGTACAGAGAGACACACGTGAACATATGCACACAAACACAAGTAGAAAAATGCAAGCACAGGTGGTCTCAAAGCAAAGAGCACACGTCACTACCAAGCCCTGGACAGAAGCAGTCCTGCGCCCTCCCCACCCCACAGCAGAGCCCAGTCCCCCACCTTGGTGACAAAGGCCTCCTGGGAGCACAGCTCGTCCACGTAGCTCAGGAGTCACGGCTTAGGGCAGGTTCTGGCCTCCTCCTGCTGCTCCTTCGTGCCCACTGCCCGTCACCCGAGGGGTGCCCTCCTGACTGTGTCGGGGGCCTTCAGCAGCTCGTCCATGATGTCCATGTACTCCTGCACGGCCTCAGGGGGGATCTCCTTGGGGGCCTTGGTCTTGGGGGCCCGCTGTGGTTTGTGTGTCTTGGGTTGGGCTGCCGGAGCTCGGGTTACGGCCTTCTTAGGGACACAGGCTGAGGAGGAAGGAAGAAGAGAGGGATGTGAGGGAACCCAGGTCCATGCCCTCAGGCACATAGCACTGAGCACAGAGTTGCGGATGGGTACCTGTGGACTGGGTCAGGTGAGTGCCTACATCTGTTGTACTATAATCCCGTGACTGCGTGAGGGATGAGGATAACCTCAATGGGAGGAGAGGCCCACAGTGTCCCCAGGGTCTCCAACCCCACTTCAAAAGTGAGTCCGACACCCTCAGGCAGCATGGGGTGTGCAGGAAGAGGGAGAAAGCCAGGGACAGGGAGCCGCTGAGCATAGGCCTAGGGGTACATGGGAGAGTGAAGGCTCCCTGGAAGGGCAGGAACCCTAGGGCCTTCCCAGGCCTGTGACCATTAGCTGGGGAACAGGGTCTGTATCTGGCTGCTGGCCTAGTGGTTGACCTGTAGCACCCTGAGGCTCAGGCCTGGGTGGGGCAGGGGGTGGCTTGCCCTGCACTCCATTCTTCGACTGCAGCTTCTGTGCCTCCGTTTCTTCCTCAGCCTCAAACTCCATGAACCTGGTGTGGGGAGTACAGGCCCCACTGAGTCGGGTTGGCTTGGAGCACGTGGGATGAGGCAGGACAGGGGATGCTCATGGAAAAGCCCTCGGGAGGATGGAGAATGGATGGGCACAAACCCCAGCACCTCCAGTGATTCCCCATATCAGCCCTTTGAGGGTCATAGAAAATAAGGGACTGTGACCCTTAGACTGTGGTCAGGAGCCCCAGAGCATGGTGGGCAGAATTGTCCCAGCCCCGGGTAGGACAAGTTTCTGCAGGGGACGGGCCTTCTGGGGATACCAGGGCCCCCCTGGCCATCTGGGAGTAGCCCCTGAAGCCCCGGCTCGCAGCCAGCCCCAACTCCCACTCACTGCCCAGAACTGACTCACTTGGCAGCCACGTCGTAGTAGATTATGCGGTCAAAGTTGCTCGTGCCATGCCATTCCCGCAAGGCACGGCGCAGGCCTTCCTCCAGGCCCATGGTGGGCTTCAGGCAGGCCAAGGTGCGCAGCCCTGGGCTGCAAAGACAGGCTTGGTCAGGGTCTGCGTCTGGTGGGAGCCCCCGCTGCCCCACACCCATTCCTTGACCCCCGATGACGGCCTGGTCTCCCCTCCCCTCCCAGAGTTGACTCGCCTCCTACACCCCAGACTGGTGGCTATTCTAGTGTCAAGCCTCAGCTCTGGGGATAAGTCATGAGACGCCGAGGCCGAGCAGTCATGCCTGTCTGAACCTTGGTGCATCTGTGCTGTGTCTGGTCTTAGGAACAGAATGTCTGTCCTTCATTCCATAGGTCAGGACCAACCCTGATAGGGGACTGAGCTGAGGCTTTAAGGCATGGCTGGTCACTACAGGCTTTTGAGCCAGAACTCTGGGATGGCATTCCTGAGGACATTCTCTCCCATGGACCCTACGCTGGGGGTCACACCAGTACCTTCTGGGAAGCTACCATTAGTTCTAGATCACCTGAGGGACTCACATAAGGAAGCAGGAAAGGGCCTCAGTGTCCAGAGTCTGAGGAATGTACTGCCGGGTCAGGGCCTTGAAGCTCTGCCAGCGCCGGAAGTTCTCATAGACGCTATTGGGACTGCTGGAGGTTTTTGGCAATGCCTGGTTTCGGGTGGTGGCCAGACCACTCTACCCACAAACCCACTGGGAGTGTGGTCCACCGCTGCATGGGAGCATGATGGGAGCCACCTGGGCCACTGGCAGTGGAACCTGAGGAGGATGGTCTCTCGTTCCAGCCTGGGTGACAATAGTAGCTGGAGTTGGAATAACGGTCTCCAGCACAGACAATACCAAGTAGAGGGGTGCAGGATGACCGGCCATGGAAGATGGAGCCTCTGCGGCCCCACAGTTGAGTGGAGCCTGTGTCAGGATGACAGGCTGGTTCTGGGCTGACTCCACAAGCGCTGCCTCAGGGCTGACCTAGATGATGACCTTGCAAGGTCCAGGGACATGGGGTCCATGGCCAGCAGCTCCTGCCACCACAGGCATCATGGGGAAAGGTGACAGCACCAGAGGGTTGCCAGGAGCAATGGCCGAGGTCACCAGAGGGGGCATCTGGATCGGTTCCCAGGGTGGTGGCTGGGGGAGCCCTGGATTGAGAAAGGGCGAGACCCTGAAAGCAGAGCCGAAGACCCCAAGATTCATGGTCATCTCTGGGAGCAGCACAGGAGACACTGCGGACAGGAGGGAGGAGGAGTGAGAGGGAGATGGTACAGGGGGAGGGCCAGGAGGGCCTGGCTGGGGCAACATTCCATGAAGGGATCTCATTGGAGGATCAGAACAAGAACTTTCCTTCAAACTTGTCAGTGGCAGCACAGCTCACATGGCCTCTTCCAGCAATTTAGACAGTTTCCCAATTCTCAGCACACAGGTTGGCATGGTCTTCGCTGTATCTCAATACTTTATCCACCAGTCTAGTTGTGTGCCCCTCAAATCTTTCTCCTTCCTCTCTCCCTGATGACCTCCTTCAACAGAGTCTACTCTTTCTTTGGAAAATTCAGTCATTAGTGACCTGTGAACCCCTGTAGGTCACAATTTGAACGGAGTTTTCCTCAGCAAATGCTGTGGGTTTTGCTTTTTTGTTTGTTTGTTTTGCTGATCCTTCTTAGGGTCCAGTCCCTAGGACTGAAAGTAATGTAGATTTGTCTAACATGTTTGACTAGCTTTTTCAAAGTTTTGTTCTACTGGAAGCTCTTATCCTTCGTAGAATAGCCACGAAACCTCAAGTTGGAACAGCTTCCAAACTCAAACTTACTTTCTTTGTATTTGCAATATATTTTATGGATGATTTGCCTCCTAAATAAAACGTTGAATCGAGGAATATTTTTAATGGTTCAAAGCTAAGCTTTGACAAAAGTCAATGATGTGTGTTTAATGCAGTGCTGGGTGTTCCCTTCTACTTTCTCTGGTCAGTACAATTCTCTCCCACACCAAAGTAGTTTTCTGTTGTTAACATAATTCTAGATATGTACTATGTACTGAAACCCCAAAGAATCTCATTTTTTATGAACTCACTATTGGTTTCCACTCTGGTTAAAAGCACATGTATGTTCTACCAGCTGGCATGTGTAGTGATTTTTTTTATATTCGTCAAACGGCTTCTCTCTTTTTCAGGAGACTCCATCCCCACAGCATGAAATTCTGCAGACCCTAACTAAATCCTTACAGTGTCTGGCAATTCAGTGGCGAATGGAATAGGGAGGTCTGAATTAGGAAGTGGAGCAGAATGGAAGTGCAACTGACTTCAATGTTCAGATCAGCAACAAAGTTACCTTCTGCATATTTTCATCCGTGGCTGGGAAAACCTGATTCAAATTTCCTCTACACTCTTTTCTTCAGTGTTTATAAGAAAATAATTTTTCAGTCTAGTTTTGGAACGATTTATAAGATCTCCCCAAAATCTCAGTCTGAAAGGATTTGGGAATATGCATTTATAATACAACATTCATTGCACTGTTTGGCCTCTATGGAGGGAATGACCTGCTCAGCCAGTAGCCGTCAGATCATTCCATCCTAAGCAGCGTGGCAAGCTGCCTTTGCAGACACCAATCTCCGGATGCTTCCCAGCAGCTGCTATGTCACTGTACATTGGTTCAACAGGGATATCCAGGTCATAAGAATTCTATCAAAATCAAGAACATCCTTCCCCAAACAATGTTGGACACAGGGAACGAGGACTCGAGAAATTTCTTGAAACTTCCAATTCTGTTATGAAGAAACTATACTTGATTTTCAGCCAGGGATTTCTCATGAGATGGATTTTGAGCTTGAACTTTGTCCTCAGGCTTCAGGCAAGACTTTATGTTTGCTTCCTTGCTGTGTCCTGAAAAGCCACCTATAATTCTGGAGGCTCTTGTGCGTGCGTGACTGGCGGAAGTTTGCACCCACCACGGCCCGTAGGTGCGCGCGCACTGGGGCTGTCCTGGGTCAGTTCTAAGCAGTTAGAGGTAACGGACACGCATGCGCACCTGCATTTCGCGCGGGGTCTGCAACCACCAACGTCCTACAGGCTATGGGTGTAATGATTCCCCTTTGGGATATTTGCACCCATGCCTCTATCAGATTCAACAGAGAGGTGTGTGGCCCTGTCCAGCTGTCTGCAGGGGCGCATCTCCCCCAGGCTGTGGGCACCACCGCACACCTGCGCCATGTCCTTTCCGGATCCGGATGCTGAGCGCGAGGGAGGTAAAGGAATCCTGGGACCATTCAAACTGCTACTTGGGGTCCGAGCGATAGTGCAGTGGGCAGGGCCATTGCCTTGCATATGACCAATATGGCTTCCATCCCCGTAATCCCAGATGGTACCCTGAGTACTGCCAGAGTAATTCCTGAGTGCAGAGCAATTACTGAGCACAGTCAGTGTAGCTTAAAACCAAAACAAAAGAATCCCAAAACACAACAGCAATAAAACAGCAGAAGCAAACTAACCCTACTACTTTGTGGACCTTTTTTGTATGATACAAAAGCAAACGAAGTTTTTTCTTATTGAAAACATTAGCCCTTGAACTTGAAGAAAGTCAGGTCCGTCGTAAATGGGGAAAATCTCTAACACAAATAGAAAATGAATACATAGAAAAGCTTTTCCTTTGTTTCCCAAAACGTTTTAGGAACCAGCAATTAGTTTCCGTCACTATACCCTCGTTAATAAATGAAACAGTTTTCATGACTTAAAATAATGGATCAATCATAATATGACGTCCAATTGTTGTGCAATTGATAGCCAGGTTAGCAGGAGATGCAAGAACAAAGCAAATATCAACAAAGATAGGTAAAGGCTCAGTTTAGCTTACAAAATTGACAGTGAAACTTTATTTTTGTACATTTTAATGCCTTAAAATATTTAAAATGTGTGTTCATTATCTGTAGTACTTTTGGACACAGACACTTCATTTACAGAGAACAGGTAGAAGTGTTCCAGCCATTGTCAGCTCACAAGTACATGGGTGTAATGCTGCCATCCCAGATCTGTTTGAGTTGAAGCATCGTGATAACCAGTTCCAAGAAACCAGTAGGATGGCCAAGTGGCAGAAACACGCATTTCAGGTTGTTTACTTCAGTAAGCAGCCAGTGAAATTTTGGGCCCAGCAGAGCAAGCTGAACATGGTGACCCATTAAATATGAGGGACCTGTGGTAGTGGTGGTTCTGGTATTATGGCAACACTAATTCAGTTTCCTTCATCCCACAAAGAATTTGTTAGGATGATAAATATCTGCTGGAGAAAGGGCAAATGCAATTGGAAAGAATCTTGAGAAATCCCAGAGGAAAGGAAGACGGTGTACTGGGCAGACAAGGCAGCAGCTCACTGAGCGTTTCCACTCTGTCCTGGGAGTAGCCAGTCATGGAAGCTCTTATGAATTCTTTCCCAAGGACACAGAATGAAGGGTGTCCTTCATTTTCCCCATGAGCAACTTCGGGAGTTTAAGTTGCTTTGTGTACCTGAGGAGTGAAGGTCCAGTGTTGGTGTGTTTGCAAAGATAGGCACATATGTAGTGGTCATGGCATGTGGTTTTCAGCATGTTATACGTGCATGGCACAACTAAGGTCATATATGTTGTCATCAGTAACTCTCGACGTGGGTGCCTTTCCCCACCATTGTCCTCAGATCACCTTCAGTCTGCTTCTTCCTTGACTGAGGATTTCTTAGTGTAATCAAAAGTCAAGACTTTCTCTTCATTTAGGATTTTTAAATTACCTTCTTTTGTTTAAATAGCACGCTGAGATCATACAGTATTTGTCCTTGCTCTGAATTATTTTGCTCGTCAGGATGCCCTCCATCCATCCAAATTGCAGGAGTCTGCAAGATTTTACCTTTTCTTGTAGCTGAGTAGGGTTCTGTTGTTTGTGTTTATACTACAACTTTATCCGTTTATGTGTCCATTTGGGGTTTTTCTGAGTATTGTACTTAGCACTGCAGTGAATACAGGAGTGCATATATCATTTTGAGTTTTCTATTAAGGGGTTTTGGTGGGAACATGCAAATGTGAAATCACTAGGTCTTTTGGAACCTATATTCTTGCTCCACTACCCAACTCCAGGCCGCTTTCCACACACTTGGGCCGAGCCTCACATCTGAGTGAACATATTCCTGGCCACATCCCTACCCATTTTCTATAATTACAGCACCAATATGATGGGTTTCAGACAGTAGGTAACAAATCATAGAGGAAATATATATATATATATATTTATATATATAAATATATATATTTATATATAGTTTCAGACAATAGGTAACAAATCATAGAGGGAATTTATATATATATATATATATATATATATATATATATATCTCAGACAGTCCAGCAATCTCCCGAGAGTATTCTCCCCATACTGGACAGCCGGGCAAACTACTCATGGTGTATTCGATATGCCAAAATTATTAAAATAATGAGTCTTATTTCCCTGACCCTGAAAGAACCTCCAATCATTGGGAAAGACAAGTAAGGAAAGGCTGCTAAAATCTCAGGGCTTGGATGAATGGAGACATTGCTGGCACCTGACTTCATTGAGCTCATCAAGTAAATTGTTGAACAACAGGATGACAGTGATAGAGTGATTCTTGCTTTTAGAGAAGTTTCCAAACTTTTCCACAGAGGTTCAGCCAAATGTTGTTCCCACAGACTGTGAA